GTATACAAGGTATATATATATATATATATATATATATATATATCTCTTTGAAAGCTTAAAATATAAATAATGATTAATGATTGCACAAATATAAAATAAGCATAAAATAAACATAAGCATTATTTTGCTCTATGATATATCATCATAAGGTTTTCTTTTTAAACATTAAAAAGGCTTTTTATGCCTTAAAAAAGAAATGAAGATTAAGAAATTAAAAACAGTCTTAGAAGTGGTTGTCATTTCTATGAATTGCATTTTTTAAATATATATTTTTATTAAATTAATAGATCCAGACAAAAAAATGGGCATCATGTCATTGACTCTGGTACATTTACGCATATATTTACTTATTCATTTGACCTTGGTTACTGTGGCAACATGAGGACGATTTTCTGTCACATGCCGGTGGTTGAATCTTCACTTTGCCCATTGTGTTTACATTGTGTTGTTTCTATGGCAACCATTATTTGTACAAGCAGGAAGAGTGCTAACTGCTAAGTAATTCATTCTGCACTGAAGAAGCATTTTAAAATTTCCATGTGAAACTCACCATCCTTCATAAGCGTTTGCAGTAATGACTGCAGTCTGTCCAGTAAAACTGCAGTCACCCTGTAGCGAAACCTTTCCTGCTTCTGTGTAAGACACTGACCAAACAGCTCATCTGTAACACACATATAGAAACCTGTCTCTTTAAGGAATATAGAAAGTGGATATGGTCTGCTGAGATCAAACTGCATATTGTGCAGCTTTTTATTTAATGTATTTAAAAGTACACACCATGTTATTATAAACATTTCTCTGAGGATCTCTTCCTTTTTTCACTTTCTCACCCTTGCTCTTTCTGCTTCTATTTGACATAAACAGAGACTACGCAGAGGATGAAGTTGTGTGATGTCACAGTTGCCATGGAAACGGTTGAAGAACACTGACCGGGTAAGACCAGGTGCTGGTGAAAGTAAGTGTTTACTGTGTAGTCAATTATTTTTTTACACACTCTACTGCACACATCAGCTTTAACTAACAGCTACAAAATAGTCAGAGATCAAACCTACACACAATAATCATTACAGTAATTGTTTTTGTAATAAAGTCAGTAGATTTATCAGCATGATAATAAAGCAAGACAATTAAGGTAATTATATACACACAAAATAACAAAAAGCGGACAAGACTGATGCATGAAAGCCAAATAAAACAAATGATTGAAGGATGGTGCTGATGCTATTATGTTGTGCAATAATTACACAACTGTTCCAGGGACTCTGAGGCAATACGCTAAGTCTTATCATTATTGTTCATTTTTTTTCCAGTAATGAGCAACATTGTACAAGGTTCAAAATCTGAAATTAAATATGGCAGCACTCACCATCCCAGCAAACCTGACCACTGGAGCACAGGCCTTCATCAAACAGACAACCTTGAAAGAGAGAAGTAGAAAAAGAGAAGAGAGAGTATGAAAGGGTAATTGTTTTTCTGACAAAATAGACCAACACAGACCCTCTCCTCATATGTGAGCAGGTTGTTTCAAGATTTATACTAGCTCAAGCATCACAAACATCCCATAGATATGAGTTACAGTTCCAGAAAGAGCTAAATACAGACCACCAGCACACTGACAATTTCAGCACCATATGTCAGTGTATATAATTGATTATCAGACGCTGTCAGTAAATTTAACACCATAGAAACAAACAAGTAATGATTTGGAATAATGACCAACCACCATAACGAGCATTAGTAAAGATTTGCCAGAATGGTGCGAGACAAAAAAAGCAAGAGTGACTCCAACTGCCATCTGCATCTCAGTAAAAATGCTCCTTAATGGAATTTACACAAAAGAATTACAAATAACCGAAAGAAAAAAAAGTGCAATATCAATATACAGTGGTGTGAAAAAGTGTTGGCCCCCTTCCTGATTTCTTATTTTTTTGCATGTTTGTCACACTTTAATGTTTCAGATCATCAAACAAATCATCAAACCTAATAACTGGTTGGGCCACCCTTAGCAGCAACAACTGCATCTTTGGATGTTGTTGTGGGGTCTTTTGTGACCTCTTGGATGAGTCGTCGCTGTGCTCTTGGGGTAATTTTGGTCGGCCGGCCACTCCTGGGAAGGTTCTCCACTGTTCTATGTTTTTGCCATTTGTGAATAATGGCTCTCACTGTGGTTCGCTGGAGTCCCAAAGCTTTAGAAATGGCTTTATAACCTTTTCCAGACTGATAGATCTCAATTACTTTCTTTCTCATTTGTTTCTGAATTTCTCTGGATCTCGGCATGATGTCTAGCTATTGAGGATCTTTTTGTCTACTTCATTTTGTCAGTCAGGTCCTATTTAAGAGATTTCTTGATTGCGAACAGGTGTGGCAGTAATCAGGCCTGGGTGTGGCTAGAGAAATTGAACTCAGGTGTGATAAACCACAGTTTTAACAGGGGGGCAAACACTTCTTCACACAGGGTCATGTAGTTTTGGATTTTGTTTTCCCTTAATAATAAAAACCTTCATTTAAAAACTGCATGTTGTGTTTACTTGTGTTATCTTTGACTAATATTTAAATTTGTTTGATGATCTGAAACATTAAAGTGTGACAAACATGAAAAAAAATAAGAAATCAGGAAGGGGGCCAACACTTTTTCACACCACTGTATAATACAGTAAATAAACAAGAAAAAAGAATGCAAATAAAATACAAAATACTGTAAATAAATTGACATTTTTCACACTTCAGACATTTTTAAAGTATTACGAGCTTTAAATACAAAAAGGCTTTCTAATATTCTCAATAAACCCCCGATTTCTCTAATTACTAATCACCACAAAGTTAGTTTTATAATAGTATATGTAGGCTAGAATAATAAGACTAATTGAATACTATTAATTAAAATATTAATTGAACTATTGTCATCATCTTAAAGAAAATAAGTGAAAACATGAAGCACATTTCCCACAATGAAACATTATTTTCAATAGCTGCCATTCATCCCACCCGAGAGAAGGTTTTATCTCATCGACGTCAACATTTACAGCAAGCACACACGATTTTCTTTGACAAAATTCTATTAAATGCACGTAACAAATTTTCATGCTTCTGATCGTACAGGTGATCAGAATCCGAACATAACCGGTTTTTACTTATTCGTAATGCATCTATAGATGATAAATGTCACATTGTAAACACTGTATAATACAGTAAATAAACAAGAAAAAAGAATGCAAATAAAATACAAAATACTGTAAATAAATTGACATTTTTCACACTTCAGACATTTTTAAAGTATTACGAGCTTTAAATACAAAAAGGCTTTCTAATATTCTCAATAAACCCCCGATTTCTCTAATTACTAATCACCACAAAGTTAGTTTTATAATAGTATATGTAGGCTAGAATAATAAGACTAATTGAATACTATTAATTAAAATATTAATTGAACTATTGTCATCATCTTAAAGAAAATAAGTGAAAACATGAAGCACATTTCCCACAATGAAACATTATTTTCAATAGCTGCCATTCATCCCACCCGAGAGAAGGTTTTATCTCATCGACGTCAACATTTACAGCAAGCACACACGATTTTCTTTGACAAAATTCTATTAAATGCACGTAACAAATTTTCATGCTTCTGATCGTACAGGTGATCAGAATCCGAACATAACCGGTTTTTACTTATTCGTAATGCATCTATAGATGATAAATGTCACATTGTAAACGTTTAAGTCAAAAAAAAAAAAAAAGTATATATTGCATATGCATTTGATGTAAGGGGGAGGGGACGTCCATACTAACAGCTGGTGTTTAATACTAATAATTTTCCGCAGCTGAATCATGCATCATTCAGCTGAAGTTAACCTGTGGCTCGTGCTCTTGACGTACCGTATCTATCACCGGTGCCAAGCTGACAACACGCAGCCGCCAAACAGACAAGCATCCACAGACGCGCTGATTTCATCTTCCCTCGGCTTCTCTGTTCTCTATCCTCGTTTACGACATATTTAGATGATAGCGACCAGTGTAACGTTGCGCGTGTGCCAAACTCCAGAAACACGAGACTTGGGTAAGAGTGCGATAAAGATGAGCGTTTGCGAGAAGGACCACCAGTGCGCTCTCGAAGGGAGGGGGAGAGAGGACCGGACAGACAGAAAACCCGGAAAGTGGGCATGACAATCAGTACAGTAATGCAGTTATTTTGAGTAATACACAAATTACATCATAATGGCCATTACTGGTCTGAGGTTTGGACTTCATGCTTACAATTTCAAGGCACATAACATGCTCAGAAAATAGCATTAATGGAAGACATGAAAACAAGGCACAAGTTTATTGGTTTTATTAACAACTTCACAAAGTAGAGTGTATGGCAACACTTCTCAAGTGCCACAGTATATGAGTGTGCAAACTCACCAAGTGATAAATGAATGGACATTTGTAAACAAATAGACAGATGGCAGTGATGGATATGATGTCAAAATGAATGAAAGTGGAAAAAGTGATATTGCTTTCCCTATTAATGACGTCCATGAATCCCATCTGTGTGGTTCTGGCGAGTCCCTCTCACAATCTAGTCCACAGTTACTGTGCTTCTTATAAAGGGGAAGTGCTCAAAGAAGCCCTGCATATTATATATAACACAGTTAGAACAACCCAAAACAGACTTGGCAAACATTCATAAGACAATCCTTAAAGGTACAGTTCACCCAAACATTCATCCTCATGTTGTTTCTTTTTCCATGATACAGAAAAGTTTAAATTGAAAAACTGTACTGGTCACTCCTTTCTACACAGTTACAACGAATGGAGTATGAGGCTTTAAAATCATTCTTATGTGTTGGATCTTTTTAATATATAAAACCTGTCGGAATAACTTCTTCACCAAAAACTCAATATTATGATGCTGATTTTTTGCCAACTTCTCCTGTGTTCCATGTTCCATGTCAAAGTCATACAGATTTGAAATGACATTAAAAGAAATTACAAATTCAAAGTAAAATAACAAATTTCATTTTTTAACTACTTATTTAACACTTGTGCTGTGCTGAAAATCCTTTACTTAATTTGGTGTTCCTGGTCAAAAATGACGGGCCTTTTAAAAATTGTTTGTAAATTTACCTTAAAGAGGGTGGTGGTCTGGAGAACTCCCGTTGTGCAGCACATTTCACGAATGGAGTGCATGGCAAGTTGAGGTGCCCCGAGATCAAGAACTGCCATTCCTAAACGAGCTGCTAAAATCGGCCCAATCGTTGTTCCACATGGACTGTCATTCCTAACCATCACATCCTGTGTAAAAAAAAAAAAAAAAAGAGCTTTTACTTGACGAAACAGTAACATATCATGCTGTTTGTAATATCAATGTCCGTTCCACACAGATAGAAGAGAGCTAATTTCTATCAGTTTTAATTGTGTATACAAAGAGGGGTTATGGTGTCCTGGTGACCAAAGCAAGACTTTCTTTTTTTTTCGAGATCGATCTTTTTCCTCTGCTACACTCTTCTGTTTATAAATCCCACACGGTCTTGTGAGCAACCTGTTGCTAGATGCTAGATGGTTTGTAGACAGATCATATGATCTTGATATACACAAACATCAACAAACACTCTAAATGCCTACCAACAAAAACAAACCACACAATAGTAATCAATTTCCTTGTCTTGGATTTCACTTCTTCAGAACAGTGATGCTAATTTTAGCTTAGATAATGAGGATCACTTTAACTGGTTTATATGGCAGAAGATTCTTGGGAAGGACAGATGATGAAGCAGGATGTAATGAAATATAAGGGAGGGGGGGAATGTTCTGCTTACCTGTAGAGGTACGCCCACTTTTCCAGCAATCTCTCGCAATATGGCAGCAGTTACAGCAGTGGTAGCATAGCGCTGGTTACTGTTAAATTTTATGACTGGACCCTGATCCAGGACACACAATGTGAGAGATTTAGCTGACTGGGCTCTGCTGAGGTCTTCATGAATGATTCATTGAGTAGGTGCTGGTGTGTGTGTTTGTTACCTTATGAAAAGCAGGCCTGTGATTTTCCTCATGTTTCTCCCTGTAAGGAGAATCATACATGTGTATATCATACATTACTATGAACATTGTTTTCAACATTACTAACAGTGTTGAAAACAATTGTACCGCTTAATGTTTTTGTGGAAACCACAATAAATTAAATTTGTTTCAAATTATTTATTTGAAACAGATGATTTTTTGTAACAATGTAAAAGTCATTACTGTTACTTTTGATCCAATTAATAAATTTAATGTAAACCAATTTTTATTTCTTAAAAACTCACTGACCCCAAGCTTTTGAATTGGGGGGTGTGTGTGTGTGTGTGTGTGTGTGTGTGTGTATGTATGTATAT